CTTGATTGGTTCTCCCGCTATCACCCGCAAACGCTGCGTTTGCGGACGGTTGCGGTTGCTAGCGTTTAAAACCAATCATTAAAAACGTTTTATACCGCTCCGCACCGCTCTAGACCGCTCCGAACCGCTGAATTCAAAAGTTCCTTCTCGCAAGCGTTTGCGGTTGCGGGCGGTAGCGGTTGACAAATTTTTTTTTTTAATTCAAATCCTATATATATATATTAAAAAATACATAAATAACAAATAAATTTTTAAAAAAAGCTGAAAAAAAATTTAAAAAAAAATTATCAAACCCTATATGTATTAACGTTAATTCTCAAAACCCTAATTTTTTTCTATTTACCAAAATTATGGCGTTAATCTAAACTCAAGAAGCACAAAATACAAACAAAGTATTGTAATAAAATTATTAATCCAGAGGATCTAAGAATTCAAAACATCTATTTTTCTAGTTTGCCATAATATTTTATTTGTAATTTGTTATATTACTTGATGCTGTTTTTTTATGAACCAAATGCATGAAGTAATAAGCACTTAACTATGAAATATATTATTTTAATTATGTAGTAATTTTATATATATTTTATTATTAATTATATATAAATTGTTTTGTATTTTATCATAATAATATAAATATTTGGTGTTTTTATACTTTATTATATAATTATAAATTATATTTCTTTTGATCATTTTCGATTTAACCGTTGTCGCATCCGCTGGTTAACCAGTCATAAAACTCCCACAAATGCACCAATTTTCAACCGCTTAACCAGTCGTTCAAAATGCATCATAACGCTTGCAACCGTAACCGCCCGCTTCCGCAAACTCCCGCTGACACAATCGCACCCGCTGCATTTAAACCAGTCAGGCCCTAAATAAATCAACGTTTCTCTCGCTTCAAAATTTTTTAAACATAAAAATCAAAACTTCTCTGCTATCACCTTCGTTCATAAGAGTTTGTTAGTTTTCTTTTAATTTTATCTCTCAAATTACTTCATATGTACGTAAATATTAAAGAAGTAATGATGAATTTGCCTTAATTATAGTGGATAATAGTCGTGTCTTGTCTTTTTAGCATTTAAAGCTTATATCCCACAACATCTTTTTAAATTAGTTTGCACTATAGTAAGACAAATAAAAAACTAACAAATTCTTCCTAACTAAACAGTGTGCCTAACTAAAGCACTTAACTAAATCGTACACGTCATCGTTCATCTGTTACAAAGACATGGATATTTTGGTCTGAATTTGTCTTAATTGCTAATCCATGAGAACTCACGTCCACTTTGCCAAACCGTGAAAATAAAACTTGGTCTTCTTCCCTGGCCTGCAAATTACCCTAAATTTATTTGATGAGATCTTCATCACAATTAATTATTATTATAAATTATATAGTATCCCTCCCTAGGTGGGATCCAAATCATATATGTATGTTCCCTTATAGCATTTTCACTCAATATAAAAATGGTTTATGAATTTTGTAAAGCAAGTAGTGACGAGCACAATGTAAATTATTGGTGGGAATTTTTCCATACATAGCCTAACATCTCCTTAAACGCTTAAACCTGAAAATTCTGTCTAAGAGCTAATCCTCTAAAACGATCGAGGAACGGAATTGTTTTTTTTAATAAGATCTATTGTCGATTAAGCCCTGCGCCAAGAATTCTACAAAAAAGGTTAAAGATCATGTGTGATTTTGATTAAAGCAACTAATCGCCGCATATAACTTAGTTTATGTAAGGGCTTGATTGGTTCTCCCGCTAGCACCCGCCTAGCGGTTGTTAGCGGTCGGTTGCGGTTGCTAGCGATTGGTACCAATCATAGAAACCGCTCCACACCGCTTCGAACCGCTCGAAATCGTTGGATTTCAAAAGCTCTTTCCCGCAAGCGTTTGCGGTTGCGGGCGGTTGCGGTTGGTGTAAAAAAGGAAATAAACTAAAAAAGGAAAATAAATAAATTAAAATATATATCATCATGTCTGATTTATATTCACGTTAATTCTAAAAAAATAATTATTATTTAACTATAATTTTCTAATATAAATAATTATTTTTGTTTTCAATATAAAAATTTATATGAATAATTATTTATGGTTTTTAATCATTAATCATTTTTTAAAAATTTATACTTTTCATAACTATAGTTTCTGGTGTTTTCTAATTTTTTATAATCATATATTAAATTTATTTTGGTAAATTTTGGTTTAACCGCTATCGTACCCGCTGATCAACCAGTCGTAAATCTCCCGCAAACGCACCCGTTTTCAACCGCTAAACCAGTCGGTCAAAACGCTAAAAAATGCTTGAAACCGCAACCGCCCGCTTCCGCAAACTCCCACAACCGCAACCGCAACCGCTGCGATTAAACCAGTCAAGCCCTAAATTATAAAGCACCAAATATATATATATATATATATATATATATATATATATATATATATATATATATTTAGCACCAAATATTTGTTTATGTTTGGACCCGATCCAATTTGATATCGTGAAGACGTTATTTGATACGGAAAACACTCGATGACAAGTGGTTATAAGATTACCTAATATGTAAAATAAACGCTTTGATTAGTGGATGCAAATCTTTGTTCTGTTGAGTGTTGACCACTTGTTATTTCGGGGTTTCTGTTGTAATTATGGTTCTTGACTCTTGAGATTACTATAAATAGACAAAAGAAAAAATAGATTTCAAATAGAGAAATGCAAAATAATAACTAATGTATACTCTAAACGTAAACACAAAAACAAAACAAAATAATGTTAAGACTTGTAACCAATATATCTTTCTTTTATTTTGGTTCAGCTTTAATCAACAACATGTAATCCATATATCTTATATAAAAAAAAAAAAGTCGGGAAATCAAAAGCAAACGAAACAATCAGGATCATGTAAACCATTTCAACAAGATGCTTACTGTAGTACTGCTTGATTTGATGTCTGAAAACAAAATCGCATTTTGTTTTTTAGGATCATATATGTCAACGTACGTTGAGAAGGACGTCAAATTGGCTATTCATTTTAAGCAAGAGACACTGATATAAATATAAATCAATGTATATGTAACATCAATTTATTGCAAAAAGATTTTTCCTATTTTAAATATAGTTATCTATATATAGTTCGAAGTAATTCAGTGGTCTGAATGATACAGACCGAGACCATGCGAGTGAACGGAATTGAGATTAAATATAGTGGAAGTGTGGAACCTGACGGACTTATTTATCTATCCAATTGAGATTTATTCCCAACAAAGCATGGGAGTGAACGGAATCTAATATTGACCAGCGTTTCTAATTCAACGGTATATACAATATGATATCGAACTAGAACATAGTATTTCGTATAAATATAGTATTTTATATATGATTCATTTTCATGGTGACTTTTCAATGTTCTGAGACATGCCTTAATTAATTACCACTTACCAACTATACTATACGTTATCTCGTACTATGAATTAATGATAATATTAAAAATCAAGTTTTTGAGGCCCGAATGGAGGAGAGAAGTACGTAGGAGAGATATATGGTTCTAAGAGAGCCTTTGAGGCTTGTCCAGAGGACCTTGTATACTTGGCAGCCGCATATGGACTGTTCACGGTTCGGGAAGGGTTATCCATATACGATACCTGGTTCCAAGAGGCTTATACTAATGAACGATATAATTGAAAATAGTTGTATGCATATTATCTGTATAATGAACATTCACAAATATGGTCATCGAAGTTGTGGGTCATGCCGTGTGGGTAGAGGCATTTAGTTTGGAATGCCGCACTTTTATCTTGAAAAATTGCGGAATATGTGTATTTGCAGTACTCATGTATAAAATGTTGATTATGCAAATATCATAATATATACTCAAAATATAGATAAAATACTCTGTTTATTACCTGATTATATAAGTTATCTCTAATGTTAGATGCATTCTTATATTAACTGATAAATAAATCGAGATACATCGAAACATAACTTATAAAGAGTCAATTAGCTGCATACCAATTTTTTTGAAAGTAATTAAGAAACAAAAGAAGAAATTTGGATGTTTGCAAAAGAAGAAAGAGAAACTGGCACACCATAAACTTTAGGACGAAAATACACTTCAAAAGAGAGAAAATGGCACATCACCATCTTCTTTATCGATCGCCGGTAATCACAGTACGAATCCTCCGATTCCATGGCCACCGCGACACTAATTTCTTCAATTGGCGGTGTAAAAATACCACAACCACGATCTTCTCCCACCATAACCGCCTTCTTCGATTTCAAATCCTAATCCGATTTTGATTTTGATTTATCACCAATCTCTTCCAAAATCGAACTCGTAACTCCCGCATCGAAGAACAACCGCTCCGATCTAACAACTCCACGAGAACCACCATCTCCAACGATTCAGCATCAGGGTCTTGATCCGACTCGGTTGAGTGACTCGTTGTCTCGGACGAGTTAGTAAACAAGGCTCAAGCTTTTCCACTTCCAACATATCTACTCCATTGTTGTTGTTGTGGTCAAAGAAAACAGAGTTCACAGTCTTAATCATGTCATCACCGACACGGAATGAAAGAGTTTTGGCGTTGTAACAGAGAAGGAGGCGTGAGAGGATGAAGATTGTAGGGGTAATTTGGTCATTTCGTCACTAAACCAAAACACCATTTATTTACAAAACTACCCCTTCTCCTTTGACTTAATTATTTTCCAGTCTTAGGGTATGCAGTGTAATTACTCTAAGATAAATAATAAATAATTTGAGGTCTTTACCAAAAAAATAATAACTGAGGCGTTAAAAAAATAAATAATCAATTTTATTTCATTTTTTGTACTGATAAATTAAATAATCAAGTTTTAACTATATAGTACATACATTTCTGTGACTATGTCTTACCATTTTCCTTACGTCGTCCAAACTGAGTATAAAATTTGAATATAATTATGTGTGTAGAGAATCTAGAGATGAATTGCTAATCTTAGTTTGAAGTTATTGCATTATAAACGAGATCGACCACATATTAATTATAACGTATATGAATCGAATCATTGACAGATAAATAATTTCAGCCAAGAATTGACCCCACGAGTTCCAATAAATAACGACCCTTTGCGAGGGTTAAAGCCACAACACAATATTTGTTCAAAGTCTAAAAAAGATTATTGATACTTATCTTCTCTCCTGAAATAACCTCATAGTGTCGACATGGCTTGCCAAAACAATCTCGTTGTGAAGCAAATCGTCGACTTATACGATCAAATCTCAAAGCTCGTGAGCTTAAAACCTTCCAAAAATGTCGACACTTTGTTCGGACAACTCGTGTCCACGTGCTTACCCACGGATACAAACATCGATGTCACAAATATGTGTGAAGAAGTCAAATACATGAGATCTAATCTCATCAAGCTTTGTGGTGAAGCCGAAGGTTATTTAGAGCAACACTTCTCCACAATTTTGGGATCTTTACAAGAAGACCAAAACCCACTTGACCATTTACACATCTTTCCTTACTACACCAACTACCTCAAGCTAGGCAAGCTCGAGTTCGATCTCCTGAGTCAACACTCAAGCCATGTCCCCACCAAGATTGCCTTCGTGGGTTCGGGTCCGATGCCTCTCACATCCATCGTCTTGGCCAAGTTTCACCTCCCGAACACGACCTTCCACAACTTCGACATCGACTCACACGCAAACACACTCGCTTCAAACCTAGTCTCTCGCGACCCGGACCTCTCAAAACGCATGATCTTCCACACAACGGACGTACTAAACGCTACCGAAGGCCTTGACCAATATGACGTCGTTTTCTTGGCGGCTCTTGTTGGGATGGACAAAGAGTCAAAGGTCAAAGCCATTGAGCACTTGGAGAAACACATGGCTCCTGGAGCTGTCCTTATGCTAAGGAGTGCTCATGCTCTCAGAGCTTTCTTATATCCCATCGTTGACTCTTCTGATCTCAAAGGCTTTCAGCTCTTGACCATCTATCATCCAACCGATGATGTGGTTAACTCGGTTGTGATCGCACGTAAGCTCGGTGGTTCGACCACGACCGGGGTTAATGGTACTCGTGGCTGCATGTTTATGCCTTGTAACTGCTCCAAGATCCACGCGATCATGAACAACCGTGGTAAGAAGAATATAATCGAGGAGTTTAGTGCCATCGAGTAAGCAAATAATTAATTGTATTAACACATCTCTTTTCTTAAGATTGTGTTCATGTTTTTTGTCTTATAATAACTGCTCTTTTCGTTTCATGTCTTTTGTGTGTTTGTAACGTGTGTGGCTACTTTTGTTAAGTATAAGTTTGTGAATTTAGAGTTCTTTGATCTCGTTTTGTACGAAGATACAGAACCCTTTGCTTGTTGTACTATCAATACAAAATAAAATAAAAAAGCATATCTTGAGAATCCACATCCATATTTCTACATTAAATAGCATGATATTTTGGTCTTATTTGTGATTTATGTTAGTGGTGGCTGGAAAGGAAACAAATTGTGACTTAAAACCGATAAATTTAGAGAAACTGCTATTTAGAGAAACACAATCAAGAAATTATTTGATAAATATGTCCATGAACTTATATTTTTTAAGAAAGAGTATCTGTCCTAATATCTGTTAATCCCATTCGGAATAATTCGAAGCTTGGTTATTGAGCAAGCCTATAATATGAACTTAGATCAATTATAGAGTTAGAAACACATGTGGACCTAATGTATAATAAATATATATTTGGGCACAAAACTATGAGAAATCAAGAGTTTGGTAGTGCGAAACGATAAAATTTCCAAAATTGAGGAAAGGAAAACGACAACATCTTACACACGGGTGAAACCGGCAACCGAAAAAATGTCATTACATCACAAACTGACGAATGCACTAAGCAGGACGAAATTGAAACTGAAACAACAACCTCTTACGCAGGTTATCAAGTCATATTAGATCTTTGTACGGTGAAAAAGATACTTAGTAAAAATATATTTAGATCCAACGGTTAATATTTAGCTTCTCTAAGACCTAACAGTTACAGATGTCAGTGATGTCAATAAACACCAAAAATTGTTAATGAAATTTTCCAACTTTGGCACAAAATCTCGCTTATTTGTTTCCCTCTCTTTCTCTTTATCTTTCTCTCTGTGTCTCTCTCTTTTCGGAAACCCTAATTTCGCGAGCCAGCTTGAAAAGGGTGTGGGGTGTGATCTATCCAAAAGCGCATTTTCAGGTTTAATTTGTGAAAGTTTTAAGCTTTTTTGGGGGTTTTGCTTTGTTTATTGTAATCTCTGAATCTGCGATGATGGTTGTTTCTCTGTGCATGCAATTGGCTTTTTGAGGATCTCTGATTCGTAGTTGGGTTTATTTGTGAAGAAAAAGTTGGGACTTTTTACTTTCCCAGATCTTTGATAGCTTAGGGTATTTGAAATAGAAGATCAGATTTGAGGGAATTTTGATTTTTAGCCATGGAAGGGAATGGTGGTAACTACACTGATAAGACGAGAGTGTTGGATATCAAGCCATTGCGTACTCTAAGACCCGTGTTTCCCAGTGGAAATCAAGCTCCGCCTTTTGTCTGTGCACCTCCTTTTGGACCATTTCCTCCTGGGTTCTCATCGTTTTATCCGTTTAGTTCGTCTCAAGCGAGTCAACACACACCAGATCTCAATCAAGCTCAGTATCCACAGCAACATCAGCAGCCACAGAATGCATCTGAGCCTTCTTTGGTTACTCCTTTAAGGTCTTTTAGATCTCCTGATGCGTCTAATGGCAACACGGAGCTTGAGGGGTCAACTGTGAAAAGAAAGATCCCTAAAAGGCGTCCTATTGCTCGGCCTGAGAATATGAATTTCGAGAGTGGGATTAACGTGGCTGAAAGAGAGAATGGCAATAGGGAGTTGGTGGTGAGTGTTCTTATGCGGTTTGATGCCTTAAGAAGAAGGTTTGCACAACTTGAGGATGCAAAGGAAGCAGTTAGTGGGATTATCAAACGCCCTGATTTGAAAGCAGGATCTACTTGTATGGGCAGAGGGGTCCGGACAAACACCAAAAAAAGACCTGGTATTGTTGCTGGTGTTGAGATCGGGGATGTATTCTTCTTCAGGTTTGAGATGTGTTTAGTGGGGTTGCATTCTCCATCAATGGCTGGGATTGACTATTTGGTTGTCAAGGGAGAAACGGAAGAAGAACCTATCGCCACTAGCATTGTGTCATCTGGATATTATGATAATGACGAAGGTAATCCCGATGTTTTGATTTATACTGGTCAGGGTGGTAATGCTGATAAAGATAAGCAATCATCTGACCAAAAGCTCGAAAGGGGTAATCTTGCCTTGGAGAAGAGCTTGCGTAGAAATAGTGCAGTTAGGGTAATAAGGGGCTTGAAAGAGGCTTCTCATAATGCTAAGATCTATATTTATGATGGACTCTATGAGATTAAAGAGTCATGGGTAGAGAAAGGAAAGTCGGGACACAACACCTTCAAGTATAAACTGGTTAGAGCTCCTGGTCAACCTCCTGCATTTGCTACATGGACTGCAATCCAGAAATGGAAGACGGGTTTGCCTTCAAGGCAAGGACTTATTCTTCCCGATATGACTTCTGGGGTTGAAAGTATACCTGTTTCACTTGTTAACGAAGTTGATACCGACAATGGGCCTGCTTATTTCACCTACTCCACAACGGTGAAATACTCAGAGTCGTTTAAGCTGACACAGCCTTCTTTTGGATGTGATTGTGCCAATTCATGCAAACCAGGGAACTTGGACTGTCACTGCATAAGGAAAAATGGAGGTGATTTCCCCTTCACCGGTAATGGAGTTCTAGTTAGCCGCAAGCCTATGATATATGAATGCAGTCCATCTTGCCCGTGCTCGACTTGCAAAAACAAGGTGACTCAAATGGGAGTAAAAGTGAGGCTGGAAGTTTTCAAGACAGCGAATAGAGGATGGGGCTTGCGCTCATGGGATGCTATTCGTGCTGGTTCGTTTATATGCATATATGCAGGTGAGGCCACAGACAAATCGAAGGTGCAGCAAACTATGGCTGATGATGATTATACTTTTGATACAACCCATGTCTATAACCCTTTCAAGTGGAACTATGAGCCTGGCTTAGCAGACGAAGATGCTTCTGAAGAGATGTCTGAAGAATCTGAAATCCCGCTGCCACTGATAATCAGTGCTAAGAATGTTGGGAACATTGCCCGATTCATGAATCATAGTTGCTCACCTAATGTTTTCTGGCAGCCGGTTACTTATGAAAATAACAGTCAACTCTTCGTGCATGTCGCCTTCTTTGCCATTGCTCACATCCCTCCAATGACTGAGTTAACTTACGACTATGGAGTATCTAGACCAAGTCGGACTGAAAATGACAATCCTTTATATGGCAAAAAGAAATGCTTTTGTGGATCAGCGTATTGCCGTGGCTCATTTGGATGATGATGGGGAGAAAAGTGATCTCTGCTGAACAACTGGAGTCTGATGATTTTGGTAGCAAAAGGTTTGTATCTCTGTCCCATTTGGTCTACTGAATATGATTTAACATATGGAATCTCTAAATTTGTTTATCTGGCAGGTGGAGTGTTGAGTCCTGATCTGTGGAATCGAGTACTTTTGGTAGCAACTAAAGTAAGTCTCTTTGATCTTCTCTTCAACAGCATAAGACGCGAAGCTGTGAAGGATTTTTACTGCTTCTCCAGCAAAAAACTTATCTATTTCTCGGATTGTGGAAGATGTCCTCATGTTTTTCTCCTTTTGGATATGTAATCATATTAGTCAGTGTTCGGATCGGTTTTAGGACAAATCTCTGGAAACTCTAGCCTCTTTTGATTATAAAGATTATTTTTATGTGAATGTGAGTACAAGCCAATTTTAACAGTTTATATTAGTTTTTATCAGAAGAAAAAAAAAAGAAACTAAAGTGGAAATTGATTAACCAGGAAATTTAAATCAAATTTCGACGTTCTCTTTACAAAGGGAAACTTGTGCGTATGTTACAACAAAATGAGAAAAAATACAGCCGAGAGAGATTACGTAAATATTCTTACACTACAACCCAACAAACTCTCTATTCGTGAAGATAGTAAGCAACCAAGTGGGAAAAATGGAATATATAAATTATATTTACTTTTGGCTGAAGGGTATAAAGAATTTTGATTTGAGAATGTGTTGTTGTTTCATATCATCTCCTTGGAGGATCCTGAATCAGGTTCATTTCAACTCCCAGGGGTTGGGATTCTCTGAAAGTTCCAAGCTTTTCAGCCTCCCTAGCAATCCGAACATCGGAAGGTCTGTAATACTCGACAAGAAACTTGATGGCGAATCTAGGAAGCAATGCTGTCACAACAATGGCAAGCAAGCAGAACCAGAACATCCACGTCTTGGCCACTTGGAAAATTGCCCTGTTACAGCCATTAAAAAAAAGTTGAGACTTTCAGTATCCAGAAGAGATTTTGAATTTGCTTTTGACAGAATGATATGTAGAGAGAAAGAGCTTTACCAGTAACCAGGGAGTGTGGGTATAACATCGATCACAATGACACATATACAAGCTGCAACAATGGATCCCCATATGGCGGCGTGTGTGATCCAGTTCCATCTAATTACATCCATGGCCAAGTGAAGATTAACCACCACAACTGCAGCAATGGTCCATAGGTCTCCTAGGCTCGACGTGTCAATTGTACTGCCCCAATAAGCAAACATAGGAATGAAGAAGATTGCTGCACTTTGCCAGATTGTGTCAATCATTGTATACCAAAAGAGCGTAGTGGAATATCCCTCTGCCCTCTGGCCAACACCGTAGAGCTGAGGATGATCTAGAAGAGTCCTCCTTCCAAGGTCTTTGTCAAGAATACCGATAATTATTGTAGGGACTGCTGTGTATATGACTGAGTACAAAACACTGCTCCATTCTGTGATGGCGGTTGTCAAGGTGTAGCAAGTAAACAAAACGTACCTGCGTGAAATTGGTGAGTGTTAGTCTGTCGTCATTGTTTTAAGACGGATTAGTACAAAACGCAGTAAGATGGTACTCACCAAAATAATATTAGAACAAAAACTGCATTTCTATAGAAATTATATAGTATCATGTAACCCATCCTTTGGTAATTCCAGTGTCCATGGACGAGCAATAGCGGAACTAAGAATCTGAACTGTCCCATTGCGAAATCAGATGCCATCACAGCTTGGCGACCTTCTTGGCCGCTTATCCCTACCCCAACATCAGCCATTTGAATCATGGAGACATCATTGGCACCTGTCAAAACACAAAGCATATGAGAAGATGAAAAAAAACCCAAAGAATTGGGTCTGTTTAGACAGGATCAGGCAGACTACTTTTTGGAAAGAAGAGTGAAGTCATTACCATCACCAATGGCAAGAGTCATGTCGGAAGTCCTGTTCTTTACAAGTGCAACG